TTTGCTTCTTCCAATAGAAATGTGAACCAGTGGTGTAGATTTAAAAGTCTGTCCCTGCTAATATCAGCAGCTGACAGCACATCATGGCTTTTGTCTGTGAAACCATTAACACCTCCATGCATAGCTCACTCTGCCTCCTTCAGAGAACACACATTTCTGAGCCTGAGAAGGACTCAGCACCGCAGTGGAAAGCCACTGTTGATCATCATCATCATTAACACGGCTCTAATAACCCCTTTGCTTTTTCAGCCACACTGACATTTAAATTTGACCATTATGTGGTAAAGCAGGCAGACCAGGCTTTATTATCCACTGTTTGCAAACAAGAAAACTGAGAGGCAAGGAGTAAGAGAGATGCTCAGCCTTCCACTCCTGCTTCTGAGCTGCCCTTAGTAATCGTGGTCACGGAGAGCGTCGCTGAGTGCTGACTGTGTGCCAGAGGATGCACTGAGCACCGTGGCTCCATCATCACACTCAGACCTCGCAGAGACTCCTGAGGTAGGTGCTGTCTTCCTCCCCTTTGTCAGCAAGGAAACGGAGGCTCAGAGACATCAGATAGTCATATCCAAGGTTATACTGCTAAGAGGTGACAAAACCAAGATTTGAACCTAGGCATTCTGTCCCCAGGTGGACACAGTGCCTTAGAACACTGCCTTCCAAAGCTACCTTGACCTCATGCCTCCCACAGTCATCCAGCAGACCACTATGCCCTCAGCCCCAGCCCTCCTTGGATGTGAAGTCTGCTGATTGGCCATGAATGATTCAATGGAAGGCCCTACTCTAGATCTTTCCCTGGATGAGATTCTTAAGCTTCATTGAGAATCCCCAGGAAATCTGTCCACCAGGAAATGCAAGTCAACCTCCAGAGATTCTGATTCAGTGGGCCTGGGTCAGGGCGGGCACATGAGTTTTTTAAATACACTCCCAGGTCCACCTGGCACTGATGGCCCCTGATCCACCTATAGGAGTACACTGCCAAAAACAGTATTTCTCAAACTCTTTAAACCATGTGCCCCAGTAAGAAACACCTTGGGCATCTCCATCCAGTACACAGATGTACACGCTCATGCAGTATGACTGAAGCATGTTCCTGAAAGAGCATCACCTGTCACAGTAACCCTTATCACCTGGAATGCAGCCTGATATTTAGTATTGTTTTTGGGTTCATTAGAAACACACGTACAACCAATTTCATGACCCCACCTATGGATCATGCCTTGCAGTTTAGAAAAAAGGCAAAAATACTGTTTTCTCTCCAAGAAAAATCTGCAGTCACTTGACGAAGGAACCTTGGGCCCCAGGCAGCTGCTGGCTGCCTGGCCCTACCAGGCTTCCATTTCTAAGCCTTGAATTTGACTTATGGCCCAAAGCAGCCAGGCACTGAGCACAGCCCACTTGTCCCCCACAGCAGATTGTCTGACCCAGTAGCTCACTGGTAGCTCCCGGCTGTGGTCAGGGCTTCTTGGCACAAGGAAGAAGGGCAGAGCAAACCAAAGCTGGAATTATGTTGGTTGGTTGGACAGAGACTCAATTTTACAGAATCAGCTTCTCTCAGGCCTGAAAAGGACCATAAAGCCATCTAGGTGAGGACCCCATTTACCTTTGGAATCACCCAGCCTATGGTATCTCTGCAGGTTCATGGTCCACCAGGCTTTGTTTACATACCTCCAGTCTTGAGGAACTCAGACTCCCTGGGGCAGGTCATTCCCCCATCATAGTTCCGATGGTTGAAAAAGTTGAGCTGAATTCCTGCAAGGAGGTCCAGTTGCTCACTGATTACAGCCTGGGGTGCCAGTGAGCTCAGGGGCAGGCAGTCTGCTATGAAGGAAAGTGCTGGGGTGCCTACTGCTTTGGGCCATGCATGAGTCAAGCTCAGGACTCTGAATGAGGAGCCTCACAGGACTGGAACAGGGACCTTCCCAGAAGGAAATCAATCTTTGTCCATAGTGGCACTGCTCATTATGCTAATAATAAGGCATATATGCTAAGCATTTTCAGACATCCTGTGTCCAGTCCTCACGACCTGTGAGGCAGAGCCTCTTCTTAATCCATTGTACAGAGGAAAACACTGGGGTTTGAAGATATTATTTGTGCAGCTGCCTCAGGCCTGCAGTGAGAGTAAAAGAACCGAGATGAGAGCCCCATTCTGGTCCCTTTTGCTTAAAGCTTGCACTCACCCTTCCCATCCATGGATTGTCAAACTGAGGGTTCAGAGATGTTAAAAATACAAGTGAGCTGCAGAACAGGATGATGCACTTAGCTGCTCCCCCATCCTGCTTCACCTGATAGGCATCTGTTGGCTTCTTCAGACCGCATTGCTCGGAACCGCAAGACCATTGTGTGCCCAATGATTGATGTAATTGACCACGACGACTTTCGGTACGAGACACAGGCAGGGGATGCCATGCGGGGAGCCTTTGACTGGGAGATGTACTACAAACGGATCCCGATCCCTCCAGAACTGCAGAAAGCTGACCCAAGTGACCCATTTGAGTAAGTATGAACAACCCTGGCTAGTCCCAGTGGCTACTCAATGACCACTCCAATACACACACAACTCAGGATCACCATCTTCCCTAAAAGCCCAATGCAGAGGGTCCAGCTTCCCAGCCCCACTTAGTGCCAAGTGTCAGATATCCCCAGCCAGAAGCACCATCCCTCCCAGCTTGTAACGACAACCTCAGCTCATGGCCCACCAGGCTGGTCATCTCCACCTTGCCTACCTCTGCACAGTTTGCCAGGATTGCCAACAGGGGTGAGTGGGTCTCTCATGCTCTCTTCCTCAAGCCTGGCACACAATTGTAACCATCACCATCACCAAGTGCCTGGCCCAGTACTAAGCACATTACACTCTGATCCAATTTAATACCCCACAACTGTATATAGTACAAATTATTATCCATGTTTTCCAGATGGGGACACCAGTGCTCCAAGAGGCGAAGTAATTTGCCCAGGTCACACAGCTATTAAGTGGCAAAGGCTAGGTACAAATGCAGGTCTGTCTGTCTGCCTCTAGAGCCAATTTTCCCATCATTCTGCTATACCCACTTGGAAGTGTTAGGGAAGTAACAGTTTGTCCCACAGCAGAAGTTTGCAGGCTGAGGGAGGGTGATGGGCTAGACTCATAGCATCCTGGAATGTGAAGGATGGAAGGAACCTACCAATGAAGAACTCAGCCCCTTGCAGATGAAGAACTAAGACTCCAGAAGGAGGAGCTCTGTGAGTGGCTAAGAGAGATAGAGCCCATCCCCTCTCTGGTGCTCCAAGCTCTCCTGCTGTATTCGTTTACTGTGGCTGCTGTGATAAATTACTATAAACTGAGAAGCTTAAAACAGCACAAATTTATACTTAAAACTCTGGAGGTCAGAAGCCTGAAATGAGTCTAACTAGGCTAAAATCATGGTGTCGGCAGAGCTGCTTTCCCTCTGGATGCTTTGGGAAGAATCCATTTCTCTACCTTTCCCAGCTTCTTGAGGATGCTTACCTTCCTTGGCTCATGGCCCCTGCCTCCAGCTTTAAAACCAGAAGGATACCATCTTCAGATCTCTGCTTCCCTCTACCTGCTTTCCTTTACACCTCTGCTTCCTTCATCATATTTCCTTCTGACTCTGACTTTCCTGCCTCCTTCTTTCACTTATAAGCCTGTGATTACATTAATGACACGTGATTCCATCAGGCTCACCAAGATAATGTCCCCACTTCAAGAGCCTTAACTTTAATCACATCTGCAAAATCTCTTTTGCAGCGTAAGATAACATATTCACAGGTTCTGGGGATTCAGACATGAACATACTTGGGGAGTCACACCTCTCACTACAATTTGGCCCCCAATGAACCACACTTCTCTGTGCCTTACCCTCCCCCCATGAGAAGAAGGGGTGTTGGAAGCTCAGCCATCTTCATGGGCATGATGCATACCCAGGGCTCCTGAGAGGAACCCCTAACACTGTGGGCCCTAGGGCAGGCTCAGAGGTAGGAAGAGCTGGGCTTCTTTGAGGAAATGAAAGGTGGCTAGGACAATGGACCGGGCGGAGCCAACAGTGGAGGGCAAGAGTAGATTCCATGTCTCCAGCAGCAGGTCAGTCATTTGTGGTCTTCTCTTGGCCACCTTTATCTTAAACACAATCAGTCACTACTATTTGATCCCTTTCTGGTACAAAGATGTGATTTAGCCATGATCACGTCATGCAGTCTGCCCCACCTTCCGTATACCTCAGCATCAGTCCTCAGTTGGCCTAAATCCTTGTAGAATACCACCACCAGAAGTAACTAACATTTGGCCTACATTGGCAAAGCAATTTCTACTGACATTATTGTGTATGATCCTCACGATAATGTAGGACACTCATATGTAGGTAGAATTACCTTTATTTGACCGACGGAGACCTTGTGGTTCAGAGAAGAAACAAGTCTGGTCCGAGATGACATGATTGCAGAAGCCGCTCCAGAAAATGGAATTTTCAGGGTAACCAAGGGAGTAATTAGACCCCCCTTTATTGTTTGAACCTTTGCAATAAGCAGACTCATTAAAAGATACTTAAGAATGGGTCTTGGCCCATCATCATCCTCATTGCACAGTAAGGAAAGGTTAAGATGAGGTCATACAGCTGGCTAGTAGCAAAGGCCCAGCTAGTGTCTTCTGGGCCTTCAGTCTTCTCATCTGGATATTAAAGTGTTTGGCTTCATCCGAGAACACTGGCTCTTGACCCTGACTACACATTGACATCACCTGGGGAGCTTGTAAAAACACCCAGGCTCCCTTCAAGAGCAATTACACTGGAGTCTAGGGGTGAGATGCAGGTATCATCATTTTTTAAAGCTCCCAGGTGTGCTGATGTGTGGCCATGGTTGTCAGCCGCTGGCCTAGATGCTTTCTGAGAGGCCCTCCATCCTCTCCCATGATTCCTCCCAGAAGTCTCTCTTCTGTTTTTTGGTGTTTTTTTTTGACTTGGACAGAACCCTAGAAAGTGGCCATTAGAGAAGTCTTGGTCATTTTCTGCACAGCTTCCCACTTGATGGTAGAGTGCCCAGCAAGTGGGCAATCTATAGGCACAGCGTGGTGCAAGGATGTTTAAAACACATGATTTCAATGGCAGACCCGTTTCAGTCACAGTTCATCCACTTACTATAAGAAGATTATATAAAATTTCTGATTTTCAAATATCTCCATCTGAAAAGGAGACTAGCATTAGAGCTTTATGAGAGCTGGAGATGGTGTCAGTAAAGTGGGTGGCACACACTGACCACTCAGAATTGTTGCTGGTATTGCCAAACACAATAGAAATCAGAATAGCCCTGGAGGAGAGGCCTCTCTCTGGAGGCAAAGCCTTGAGTATCCCAAATACCTCCTGACTGATATCCTGCCTATTCTTCACAGCTCCTCAGCCCCTGCCCCTGCTTTGACCCAGGCTGATTTTCATGTGCAAAGCCTTGAGTTCAGTCTCCCATGAAGCACCAGGTCAGAAACACTCTCAGCCTTTCCAAGCAGTAGATTTATGGCTCCTGCCAAAAAAATCCTGGAGCCCCCCAATCTTCAGAAGACAAAGGGGAGTTGATACTAGTAACACCTTACCTTCTTATAGTATTGGGTACTTTAGAAATAATCTAGCTGTATTAATCCATTCTCACACTGCCATAAAGAACTGCCTGAGACTGGGTAATTTATGAAGAAAAGATGTTCAATTGACTCACAGTTCCATATGGCTGGGGAGGCCTCAGGAAACTTACAGTCATGGCAGAGGGGGAAGCAAACACATCCTTCTTCACAAGGTGGCAAGAGAGAGAAGTGCTAAGCAAAGAGGGAAAATCCCCTTATGAAACCATCAGATCTCATGAGAACTCACTCACTATCATGAGAGCAGCAGCATGGTAACCCATGATTCAATTACCTCCCACCAGGTCCCTCCCACAACATCTGGGGATTATGGGAACTACAATTTAAGATGAGATTTGATTTATAGTTCATTGGGTCTGCAAGCAAAAAATTAGGACTCGCTGAAAGCCGAGATGATCATCAGCTTTTTTTTTTTTTAGCAATAATTTCAGATTAAGATATATACATTAAAAAGATGTATTGTTATTGCACACTGAATAGACTACATTGTAAATATAACTTAAATGCACTGGAAAAAAAAAAGATGAGTTGTTGATCCAAGATGGCCGTTTAGGAACAGCTCAGGATTGCAGCTCCCAGTGAAAGCGCAGAGGGTGAGTGGACGCCGCGTTTTTATTGCCCACAGACTAGGAAACTCCCGGGCAGAGGAGCTCCACGGTCGCCAGCGTGGCTGTTTCGGCCAGCCCGGCTGTGCTGGCCGGCACCACTGCTTTGCCCCGTGCGGCTGCTTTGTCGGCGCCCCGGAGCCGCGGTTCTCCGTACAAAATACACCGGTCCGGGGGCCCTTTAGGCTGGCGATTGGAGCCACGGGAAGTCGCCCATACGCTGGTTCAAAAAGGGGACTGAGCAGAGAACCAGGACAGTAGATTCCAGGGCAAAAAAAAGAAAAAAAAGCGCCACAAACCTCAGTGCCTCTGTTTAAGCCAGCGCAGTGAGTGGCCGCAGGGGAAAACAAACAGACCCCGGCGCCTCTTCAACAGGCGACTGGAACACCAACTTAAAAAAGGCTCTGAGGCAGGGAGCCCGGCGATCAGGCTCGGCTGGCCCCACCCCCGCAAAAGAACAGCAACCAGAAACTCTGGATTGAGAGTTTCACAGCAAGCGCATCTGAACCCGGGATGGTCCAGCTCTGTGGGGGAGGGGCGTCCGCCATTACAGAGGCAGCCCGCCTTGAGGCAACCCGCCATTGCTGAGGCAGCCCGCCGTTGCCAAGGCAACCTGTCACAGCAGAGACTCCGCCCCAACAGAGGCGGGCCACCATCGCCAAAGCAGTTCTAACTACACCCATATAAACAGGACTGCAGGGAAGTTCACTC